TAAAAAACTCTTCATTAGAAATATCCTGAAACCTTATTAAAGAAATAAGCTCCTTTATTGTGTTGCTTAAATCAATAAAATTTTGTGATGACTAATTTTTAAGATCATTATTATTGATTTTTGGATGTCTTGATAATCCTCATTTAAGAACATCTTCCTAAATAACTATTTCATCAGCAAAGACATCATCTCTTTTGAGAATTTCCAGTAGAATTGGTTTTTCCAATGACGCAAATTCATTTGACTGAAATAATTTTTTACTATAATCATAAAATTTTTTTAGATAGATATTTTTCAATTCCTTAAATTTTTCATTAGAATAAATCAATTGTAGAATTTCAGCTGGGTTTTTTTTTATGTAGCCATCATGTTTTTTAACAAAGTAATTCATTGTATATTTATAAAATGATTCAAGTCCAAGTTCATCAGCTGCAATTAATATTTTTAATATATCAACCCCAGTAAGTTCATCTAATTCAATCTTACATGTATACAAAAATCTTTTAAAGATAAATAATTATTAATAAATAATATATTCAATAATAAATTAATAAATAAATAATATAATAATAATTTAGTATAACCTTACTTCAGAATATTTTTGAAAGTTGTTCATTAATATTGGCTTTTTTAACAACATAATAACCATTTTCTTTTGTTGCATTACTTCATGCAACGCTAAAAAATGGACATATGATAGATGCATGTACATGAAACTCTTTTATGTTTGGTTCTATACATATATATATTTTTACATCATAAAAATCTTCTGTATTTAATAATCTTTCATTTTTCATTAAAATATTTTTAAAGTGAAAATGAATGGCCAATCAAATTTTGAAAAAATAGGCGAATTATATTTGTACTCTGAAAATTATTTCGAAATAAGCATTAATAGTTAATGGTAATTTAAATTGTCGTGTGCATCCTTTTTTTAATTGATTTTTTCCAGTTATTCTGGCCAGGTACATCAGATCTTGACGTGTTAAAATATTTTGTATTTTGAATGTCTATAAATTGCATGGATTATGTAATATTATATATTATAAACTACAAAATAAAAATATTATATTTCCTGACTTATCGTTGATACAAATTCATCAAACTGATAATATCGAATTGGGGTAAATGGCGAGGATAATTGTTTTCTCATTAATAAAGTAAGACCTGACGGGAAGATACTAAATTATCGTTTCTTTTAAAGAATTATCAGGTAAAAATTTGATCGCAATAGCTGTTCAAATTTGCTTCTTGTTTGTTTCATATATGTGTGTTTTTATATCATACCTACGTAAAAGTACAAAGTATAATGAGATAACAACAACTTCAAATGATTAATTGTTTTTGCATTTTTCTAGATAGAAATACGATAGAACCAATATGTACAGTGATGATATTATGCGTGAATTTTAAATTCACATGCACAAACTCACAACAATGACCACAGATTAATTGTTGTTATTATTATTATTATATATTATTTTTAGCAATTTTCGCCATTAGTTATTAATAAACCCAAAAGATTACCATAAATATAAAAACAATATAGAAATCGAATTGGAGCTAAATTTATCGAGTTAGTTTTAAAACTTTGACTCAATATTTATCTATTTCTTAGAAATCATTAAAATAAAATAAGCCATGAATATGTAATTGATAGAGAAAGGTATTCATCACCTGAAAGATTTTATAAATGAAAAATTACACAGATTAATTATTTATATGTTTTCAAAAACATCATTGACGAAGAAATCATTGTTGATACAAGTTTAACAAAAATTTGATGTTATACTTGTAGAACTTTGAACCTTCACATTACAGTATCCTAATAATAACAATATTACCGTTTCTATTGAAATTATGGTAATAACAATAATACAGAAAATGTGGATATTATACATAGACAACTCCGTCAATCCGAAAGCATCCGCGCTGTCATTTTTCTTTGGGTTGACGGGGCAAATTTACATAGATTTTGTGTTTAGGATTAACGAACTTCAGATTAACGGGCGACTATGTAAATAATAGCAATGAAAACACTTATAATAATGATAATGAAGATGGAGGGAGCAAGAGCATAAAAGCAAATAAAGATATAATATTGATGATAATGTAATAAAAATAATCCTAAACTTGAAATAAACCGTTTAGCGAGAAGAACAAATCAATTTCATTTGTTTTAATCAACGTAGCAACGAAAACGAAAACCCAGGATTCATACAAATAAAGCTTTAGAAGAAGCTTTATCACCAGTTTTTGATACACGGCAAAACACTGAATTATTTATGAATTAGAGGTTTATTTTATTACCATTACTTCTTCTACTCATGAAACCAAAAAATTATCTGACCCTTTACTTTCCAGCTTGGATTGAATTAATGCAGACAACAACCAGGAAAATTCCTTTTGGATAAATATTATTATTTGATTAATTTGGTTTTATTGACTTTGCTGTCAGAAATCGAAATTATATCCGAAATCGGAGTCAAATAATTTTTATATATTTGAATATTCGTAATGTCCGTAATACTTTCAAATATTTGTAATGCTTCGATAAAAATGTCTTCGGTAAATGATGGTATTATTTTAATTAATTATGAAACAGGAACAATCACAGTTACAAAAGGCAAATTTATTTATTGATAAGAATCTTATAATAATAAATACCTAGTAAACTCCATCCCACATTTCGATCGCAATAAGATATTATAAAATATAAACAAAAGATATACAAAAAAAAAATTGTGCCTCCAGTTATTAATAAATAACTTGTCTCCTTCAGCAGAAGAAATTAATCCATCATTTATCTGAAGAAAAAATGTCAAAGCTGAAAAAAATTTAATAGAGTCATTGGAAAAATTGATAGAATTTGATCTTGATGATGAAAGTGGATTTATTAATATAAATAGAAGCCCACAATAAAAGTGATTTAAATAGAATGATTTATTTTATTAATAAACACTGCTTTCATACATTCATACACAAATTTCAAATATGTATATTTTTTGTAGGGTATACCTACATCAATCAACTTCTTTCATTTTACAAATGGATGCTTCAACTTCAGAATCATCAGAAACTGAGACTGATTTGAATGTATTGAGACTATATGTGCTGCCCAAATTAAAAATCAAGAACCCCGAATTACTTTGCACATCCCATATGTAAAATCCCAAAATATAATAATGCACCAAAGAGGTTGTTAGTAGTTTGGAATTTGGGAATTCTTTGACATACTGCCCCAAATTCACTTTGTACATTTGGGATGCCATAACCCCAAATGGTTTGGGAATCATGTACAATTGAAACACTACCATATAATACAAATGCAACTCCCAAAACATCCTCATTGCTTAATGAATCCATCACATGCCTGGTGGTAGATCTGGTGGTATATAATCACCTGATGATGATAATCTTAATGTAAATAACATTCTAAATGAATTCCTTGCCATAGCAGACTATAATTAGATCCTTGTCATAATGGGATTTTTAAGTAAATTTTTTTTTTATGTATCCCATTCATCTGCCGCGACAAGGTTTGAAAGGAAAAAAAATTAAAGATTTTTCTCATGCTAATCTATTGACCGGGAAAGAACGTAGCAAGAACTAAACCCAGTTAAAAGGCCAGATTAATTTAATCGACTTTAATCAGCATAATCACAAAAACCCAAAGGGATTTGCATTAATCTCCCAAAACAGAGAAGCCTTGGAAGAAGCTTTATTACCAGTTTTGTTTCTGTACAAAATGCTGAATTATTTGATAAATATTGGGTTTTTTGCTTTCTTATTAATCCCAACACTGCTCAAAGAAAATTCTAGCATGACCAAATCAGATGTATTAACAATTTCGGAGCAATGTTTGCATAAATGAGTTTTAATTTATTCAAAAAAGTTTTCTTGGACAAATATTATTATTGACTATTAGTGTCTTCACTTTTAATTAATTTAGTTTTATTGGTTTGTTGTTGGTTCCAAAAAAATGTAGTAATTTATGTCAAATCCTTGGTAATACAAATGTTCGCTTTGTTTCCTAACCTTGTGACGGTTTCCCTATATTATTTTAATAAACCAATTGCTTGAGTTATATCCTAATTTAAAACTTATTTGTACATATATACAAGTGCAATTTAACGTTTTAATTTTTTTTTTTGATATGAATGAATTATTTTCTTTAACAAACAACAAAGAAATTAGTATGAATTATTCGCTTTTTTTTATATGGCAACTTGGTTGATTCCTTTAACAATAAAGAATTGATTTAGGTATCATAACAACTGAATTGCCTACTGACGAAAATATTGTCGAAGATATTCTCATTTCAGAAGGTGTCTAGAAATCCAAAGATATTGAAATAGAGAGGAAGAGGAAATGAGCCGGTTATTTCTATATAAGAAGGAAGGAAAGCATTTGAAACTACAAAAAAAAAATGTTAAAAATCACATGAAATGATCAACTGCTTTCACCTCAATTATATCCCATCAAAGTACTGATACAAGAGGAGGACATAAAAGAGGTATGACTGTAATAGACCTTAGATCTTTCTGACAGTTAGTGTAAAATTAGTAGGAGATAACAATTTATTATTATTATTATTATTATTATTATTATGGAACCGGCATAAATGACCCGTGTAACATTTTATCGTTATTATATTATAACGCGAATTTAATTATAATCCGTTGTGGCAGGGTTTGATTGTATTCACCATGCTTAAAAAACCAGTAAATTAAAACAATATTTTGAATTAATGATTGATCGATCGATCGATTGATTGATTTGGCAGATTCACTTATTTTAAAAATAGAAAATTTTAAAATACATTTTGTTTATTCACAATTAACGTTTATTTTTTACCAAATTACTAAACAATATGATTTTCAATAAAACATCCATGATTATTACTTGGATCAATAGTAATAATAATAGTAAATAAATAAATCTTGTAAACCAATGAAATACCTTTAACAATAACCAATAAAAATTTTCTAAATTCATGATCAATTTTCATTTGTAATTCTATCTAAAGCCAAAGTATATTCTTGAATGAGTTGTTGTAAAGATCGATTAGTAGCTGAATACATATAAAAAGATATTATAAATTTAATAAATATTAGAGAATTTAAATTTGTATTGAATTGTATTTGAATTGAATTGGAAAAATTAAATTTTATTTAGTATTAATTTTACATAAGATAGCCAATACGTCTTTTAATAATTCATGTTTAGACATTCCCTATTTAATATATTTTTTGAATTGATAATTAATAAATAGATTAAACATTAAAAAATAAATATCTGTTATATCACATACTGCTATAAAACGATCCCTGTTTACACCATTTGCACTAATAAAATTGATGAATATATTAATCATTAATAATAGATTAGTTGAAATAATAATCATAACAATAAATTATTAATACTATACCAAACATCAAATGGATCTAAAAGTCTTGAACAGAGTATATTTATCTTCTCACCATTGCCAACATCAGCTAATGCTTTAGCATAACTCAACAAAATTTCTTTGTATTCATTAGGTGAGCTAACCAATTCAGCTGACAACAACTGATTATACAAATGTCCAAGTTTACTTTCGCCTTGGGCCAAATATGACAATGTACCATAATTATCACCTCTATCCCTTGCAATCTTTTCTATTGTATTTAATATTCCTCTTGTATCGCCACCACCATACTCTTCTGTGGTAGTTTTCATTTTTTCTTTTGATGAGTAGCGTGGATCATAAATCTGCACCCATGTTTTTGCACTAAGATGATAACACCATGCTTCGTTTGTGTCTGTCATTAATATTGGTACCCCATGAGGCCTGATAAATATCTTTTCAATTGATGCATAATGAAGATCAGCTAACGATGTGCTGGATGGTTGAATAATAGGTACTATGGAAACAGACGATACTATTGATTCCAATTTTGGTAGTTTCCTATAAATAAAATAAAATAATCATGTCTTTTTTATTTCTCAAAAAAATTCTTCCTCTTACTATCGTCATCATCAACATTAAACTATTACTTACCAAACATTAATTATTCCTGTTTGAGATAAACATAATAAATATTCCCTTGATATTAATAGATGTGATGCAGCCGAGTCAAGTACAATATTTAATAACAATCTATAGATGAATTTTTTTGTTAGGGAAAAATTTTAATATAACGAATAAATTATCTATCATCTAATCAAAACAATTATTTATTACCTTAAGCCACTATGGTCATATATTATAATACTACCATTCTCACATCCAATAACGACATAGTTATCATTACCAGCAATCAATGTTACCGCATTGGGAACAACATCACTCCAAAGATTTACTTTGTTAAGAGAACAAACAATTCTTGAAAGACCTAAGAAGAAAAAATATATACGTACACATATATGAATATGTATATACATAATAATTTTTAATTTTTTAAAAAATTTTTACCTTGCCGATCGTTATGACATTCAACTTTAAGATCTTTCTTATATTCAGATAAATTTTTGGAAAGAAGAAATTCTTTGACTTTATGAGAAGACAATCGAACTTGTGACATGACAACCGATGGAGTAATCATTGATGATCTTATATTATCATTTTTATTATTTGATGTTGATATTGTTGATGATGATGATAGATTTTGTGTTTCACCATTCACTTTACCACCAGCAGCAGATAGTGTTGGCCTTTTGTTTGGTAAAGTAGAGCCAGTGTTTGAATCCAAAAGCACCGTCTCTTTTCTTCTTTTATTTCCAATGCATGCATTTTCCCTACTTATCTCATTATTTGGTGGATTAGTATCAGAATTTGTTGTTAATTGATTGAAATTATTTAATATTGAGGTTGTTGTTGTTGTTGTTGATAATGATGATAACGGTGATGAAATGTTATTATTCGTCGATGTAGCTTTCGTAAATGAAGTAGATGAGGTACTAAATTAATTTATTATCGGGGAAGTGAATAAATAAATAAATGTAACAACTAATGAAAAATATATATCTTTTTAGTACCTTATTAAAAAATTGGGTCGAATACGTTTTTTACCATCTTTTGTAATATTGGCAGGAGTAGAAGAAGTTGTTGCTGTTGCTTGATTTGAAGATTGGATAGAAGGAGAATCATTTAAAATTTGCATTTGAGGAACCTTATCAGTTTTTCGGGTATTGTTATTTTCGCTGTCGCGATCACTTTCCATTTCTGTATTGTAAAGGTGGTGTTATAGTTGGTTGTTGTCGTCAAAAATAAAGGTCAATAACTGGTAACCGGCTGGTAATGAACAAACAAAGTCGTGGGGTCTTTATTTATTATTTATATAATCAAGTTTGTTTATTTATTATATTAAAATTTTTAAATTAATTTATTATATATAGAACTAAAATTTAGTTTATTTTTTTTATTTTTATAATTGAAGTTTACAAATATAACAACATTCTTGTTAGAATACATATCAATATCCAAAAATGTATTTCGCTACTATTTCATTACTATTATATATGAAAGTGTACCAGTTCTCTCGGCCCAATTTCCCACTTTTTAAAATTTTGGTTATTGGTTCCTATAAATGAACTGGTATCATATTTAATATAGTGAACAATTCGAAAAAATATTTTTCTGGCAATAAACTTTCACCCATTTTTTAAAAAAAAATAAAAAAGTTTATCGTGGCATACGTTCACATAAAATGATCCAGAGAAAAAAAAAAAATTTTTTTTTTCTTACAGATTATATTCATCAATTGATCATCATCATCATCAATTTACTTTCCTGTTTTGGTTGTATGTCTAAACGTCCCTTAAAAGGAAAATTGATTCACTCGCTGAACCGTATCAGTTAAACAATTAAATTAAATTAAATTAAATCAAATTAAATCGTTTTTATTTATTCTTTTTCACTTTTTAATTTGATTAAAACGAAAAAAATACAGTCTTTAATAATAATATATCACTCATTGTATTAAAAAAAAATTTTTCTTTATAAATTGCGTCTTTCTTTAAATATATATAAAAACTGCTTTATATTATTCAAATAAATTCATAATACCATGGCTTCTTCTATGGAAAGGGTTAAAAAAGTTGTCAACGAAAAACATGAACGTATTTTACTTGAATTGACAAAACAATCAGGAAACGATGTATGCGCTGATTGTGGCTCTAAAGGTTAGTTATTGTTGAAGAAAAAAGTAAAAAAGTTAAATTTTTTTTTCATCGTAATCTATTTTTCATTTATAATAAAATTTTTTTTTGTGTACTTAGGACCACGTTGGGCATCTCATAATATTGGAATATTTTTATGTATACGTTGTGGTGGTTTGCATCGTAAAATGGGAACTCACATATCAAAAGTTAAATCAATAACTTTAGATTCTTGGACACCTGAACAAATAGAGGTAATTATAATAATTTTTAAATTTAGAATAAATTAAATATATACTTATATACTTGTATATATATGTAATAGAATATGCGACAATGGGGAAATTTAAAAGCAAATTTTAAATGGAATCCTCATCCTGAAATTCACCCTGCTCCGGTTAATGCTTCTGATAGGTAATTAGTTGATTAATTTAAAAGTTTAACATCCTTCATTCCTAAATAACATTGTTAATTATTGATGGGTTGATTGTATATAGTGAAATGGAAAAATTTATTCGTAACAAATATGAAAGAAAGATTTTTATGGATAATCCAAATAAGGTGAATGACAGCAGATATGTTATAATATACATTTTCTTTCAAATATATTATCAATATTCTTATTATAATTTTTCCAAATCTTTATGATATTAGCCACCACAATCAAAGAGCAGTTATATATCATCACCATCATCGTCATCATCCAAACGTAACTCATCCTATCCTGCCTCTTCATCCAACTCCACCTCTTCTAGTTATAATAGCAATAACAACAATAATGATCATGCACCAAATTATGATAATTCACTTCGTCAACTTAGAGATATGGGATTCACTGATAATACTAAGAATCGTGAAATATTAAATACAACTAAAGGCAATCTTAGTTCTGCTATCGAGATATTAGTTAGATTACCACCTCCTAGTAGTAGTAATAGTACTGCTGGTGATTCTAAGAATTCCATATCAAATACAACAACAACAACAGCTACGTCAAAATCCAGAATTTCAACTAATAGCAATGCTAGTAGTAATTCTTTATCATCATCTTCTTCTAATATTGATGATAAATTGGTTCAATTATGGAATATGGGATTTCAAGATGAACCCAAGAATCGTGAGGCACTTCGTAGAACAGGTGGTAATTTGGAAGTAGCTGCTGCTTTGTTATCTGAAGCTCGTTCAAAACAAAATGATAATAATAGTATTATTAGTATTGATATTAAAGGTAATAACAGCAATAATATTAATAATCATATTAAAATTCAAAGCAATAATCCATTGATAGATGTCTCATCAAGTAATAATAATTTATTAATTTCTAATAATAATAATAATAATAATAATCCTTGGAATCAATCCATTCAATTAAATGGTTTGTATTATTATTTGATTCTTATAAGAAAACTTTGATTTTTTTACACAAACTCTTAGTTAATTTTTCTTATTTTTAATAAAAATATTTTATAAAGGAATGAATATACAATTTCAACAACAACAACAGCAGCAGCAGCAGCAACAACAACAAATGTTATTAATATTAGGACAGCAACAACAGCAGCAACAACAGCAACAACTTTTAAAACAATTAGAACTTCAAGAATTACAAAAGCAACAGCAAACTGAATTATTTAAACAGCAAATGATGCAAAAATTGAGATTGGAAGAGGAACAAAAGCAACAACAACAACAACAACAACAACAAAATAACTTAAAATTACAATTGCTACAACAGCAGCAGCAGCAAGAGCAAGAAAGGCAAAAACAATTACAATTACAGCAGCAGCAAGAGCAAGAAAGGCAAAAACAATTACAATTGCAGCAGCAGCAACCAGTAACAAATAAATTTGATAAGAATGCAATATTATCATTATATAATAACAATAATAACAATAATATAAATAATGGATTGAATTTAACATCAAATCAATTTGGAATTAATAATCATCAATCTATGCTACTAAATAACAACCAAGGTCAAATGTTACAAATGGGTGGTGGTAGTGATGGTTTATTGGTTGGAAAAGGAAGTGATTATAACAGTGTGGCTACAACAGGAAATAATAATTTATTTGCTTCAACCATTTTTAACAACAATAATAATGGTGTTAGTGGATTTACCAACAATAATAATTTTTTTGGGCTTAATACTAATAGTAACAATTTTAATAATAATAATAATAATAATAATATGAATATTTTTGGAACGAATTCAATAAATCAACAAAATTATTCAACAACATCATCATCTTCTATTATTGGAATGTCGAATTCATTGAATGCTTCTAATAATAACATTCAATCAATGCTACAACAACAACCATCATCATCATCATTAGGGATTTTTGGAAATCTCCAACAACAACAACAACAACAGCAGCAGCAGCAACAACAACAACAACAACAACAACAACAACAACAACAACAACAACAACAAAATAATAGTAATAGTAATTATTCATATAAAATGAGTCAACAATCATGGACAGGATTTTAAAAAATCTTTTAAATAGGATAACATTTAAAATGTTATCAATTGATAATATTTTTAATTTTTAATTAATATATTTTATTTATTATTATATAATAGAGTATATAAAATAGATTGTAATTATATTGTAATAATCCTTTTATTATTTATTTTGAGGAGAGGATGAAGAAATATATATTAATTAATATCATTAATAAATTATTATCAAATAATCTATCATTATTATTTATCATTACTTGGATAAATAATTGAATAAACTGTATTTATTTATTAGTCACTTGCATCACTTGCTGTTCCATCATCATCATCATCATCATCTTGAGCAATATCTGCACCCTTTTATAATAATTTTTAATGAATGATTTATAGGATGAGAAATTATTTCTTTTTCTTTTCTCTTTAATTCAATCACCTATATAATATATCTATTAAGAAATATCATACCATTTGTAAAGCCAAAGTAGCTTGTTGAAGCAGATTTTTTAATTCTTGATTATCAAGGTCAACTAATTGTTTAGGAGTTTGTTTATTTTTATTCAAAATCCTTTTTAAGGAAATGAAGAACGATGTAAGTATGGAATTGAAATAGATGTTATTATTTATGAAAATTTACCTTGGATCAGCACCGTGATCAATTAATAATTTCACTAAATAATAAAAACATAAATATAAATAGTTTTTCTTTCAAATTATAATTTCTAAAAATATGCTTGTAGATAATGATGATGATTTACCAATTTCATATGATACTGAAGGATCATCTTTATATTCTACAGCTTGATGTAAAGGTGTATTTCCCTCTAATCGATTCTTTTGATCAATTTTAATTCCTGGTTGGGTTAAAAGTTTTTCTATGACACTTAATGAGCCAAACTTTGCACTGTATAAATTATTACCAAATAGACGAATAAATATTGTGCGTGTGTATGAGAAAAATGAAATAATAATAATAATCGTTATTATACTCAACGCACGCATAATGAAGTGCCGTGTTTCCTATACCATCACTATAATTAATATCGTATGTACTAGGTTCAGAAAATATCTCATCCAAAATCTCTTCAGAATCTTGTTTAGCTGCAACTAAAAGTAATTCATCTATTTATATTATATATAGTAAATACGTCGAATATAGATAATGAATGAATAAAGAAATTACTCAAAAAAATAATTAGCTAACTAATAATGATTTTATTTTTTATTCGTGATTACTATTAAAAACAAAAAAAAACTAACTATTTGATGCTCCTTCTTCATCGCCAGACATTTTTTAAATTATTTTATTATTATTTGAGAACAATCAATTTTTTGCAAAATCTGCACAAATTCAGGTTTTACCAAAATTAGAGGATTTTAGGAAAATCAAGACTTATATGGGACGTGTAACATTGATCATTACATAAATTTCCAATTTTACTGGCTCTAAAAACTAGTGCCGTAATCCAAAAAAGGAAAAAGTATGGTTGCAAAAGTGGTCGCAAAGGTAATTGCAACTTTTTATATGCCGTAAATACAATTACTACCATCATAATTTACGGCACTAGTCTTTAACTGGCTCATCATCATCATAAATTTATATTTTTAAAAGAAATATGTATATAGGAGATATTCCAAAAAAAAAGAGATAAAATTCCATCTAAATATGTTACTGACCTCCAAAATACTCTTATTGAAGTTTAGCACCAAACCATACTTATTTATCAATTTTCTTCTGGCAATCTGAAAACTTTTATCATCACTATGTACCTATCATTCCTTGTATCATTGACAATTGTAATGGGAAGACTAGATCAAAAGGTAGACACACAATTAATTATGGTACCAATAGAAATATTTTGCTACATAGTTGGAGTTATACCTGTGGTTTTTGACATCATGTATTATATTGATTGTTCAATTATAAAAATGTGTGATTGGGATAATCAAATTTATTTTTGAACTTTTAAAGATTAAGGCTCCGAATGAATCGAATCAATTCATTGATATTAATAATGGTCAGTGACCTATATTATTAATAATGAGTAAAAAAGTAACGATTTACAGTTGTACAATTCTAATATTACGATGATAATAAAATTTTTTTTTGAAAATTTTTGCGCACAAAAAAAAAATCTAAAAATAGTAACAAATTTTATTGGTTGAATTTTGAACAATGATTACTCAAAAAAAAAAAAAAATAGCTGAGGGGTCAATCTTCCTTGTCCAAAAGTCCAAATCCCATATATTGTTTTTAATTAATGCATTTTTTTTTAACCTTTTATCTTAAAAAAATGACAAAATCTAATTCAGCAAAAAATGATGTGGTTCTTCTGCCTAATCTTTATCATGAAGGTGAGGTTTTTTTTTCACCTATAATTGCTTGCACATTTTGGGATATTTATCAACTTCTGATTTGTAGAATATTGGACAGGTACAAGTTTCCAAAACTGGTCAGTTGAATCGTTTGATATATTTTGGATTCAGAAAAACCTGAGTCTATATAGAAGACAGGATCTAGCACATTCTGCACTGGGCAACGAATTGGCAATTCTTGTCAGAGCATCTGATAAAAGAATAGTGGATAAGGCATACTTGTTGAAGAAACAACTTAATTTTAAGGTCAGTTCGTGTGCAATTGGTTGCAATTAGTTACAGTTGATTTTTCCTTAAGTCTCAAAGGTGACATTTAGTTGAGATTTTCATCTTTAAATGAGATGTCAGGCAAGGTTGCATGTCACTATGCCCCTTGATGCTTTCGAGGAGGGTTTTGATGCTTTCTTAACCCGATGGGGAGGAGAAGCGTGATAGCTTCACTTATTATATATGTGATTCTTTTACATGTGTACATGTTGAACCAGGGTATACTACGCCCCTCTATGCTTTTGAGGAGGGTTTTGATGCTTTTTTAACTTGATGGGGAGGAGAAGCATGATAGCTTCACTTATTATATGTGATTCTTTTATGTATATATCCCTACTGACCAATGTCCATAAAAAATGCCATGTATCATTCATCAGTTCTCTCTATTCTCTAATTTTTTTATCAACCATAAAAGAATGAATCATCACAGATTAACAAGATTATTTGGGAAAGAAGCAAAGATATAGCAGAGTCTCAAATACATTTAACATTAAGCGAACTGCAAACCAAGGTAATTCAAGATTGGATCCTTATTACTTAGTGCTTCAATAATCTTATTAGTCTCCCTAATTTTCAGACAAATATTGAAATGTCCCTGATTGAGGAAATCAACAGCTCCAAAAGAAAAATATGTCACTTTAAAGACCACGTTTTGGAGCAAACAAATGGTAAATGCCAAAAGATGGAGTATCACAAGAATGAGGAAAATCAAGGTGATGAATATAGTGATTTACATGTACCATCTAGTCCAACACCATTCCCATCACTGCAGTTATTAAAAGAATATTCAATTGCACAATCATCTTACTCTTCAAGATTGTGCTTTATACTCAAAAGCGGAACAATTGTAAAAGATCTTCTGGATGGTATACCTCACAATAGTTTCTGGAACTGGAATCATCTAATTCTTGATAAAAGTAATGGTTGGCTTTTAAATGGATATATGAAATTAGAAGACTTTGAGGAGTTGGTGGAAATTTGTTACTCTCATGGTGCTGTGGAACTGCCAATAGAATTAAAAGTAATGCTTAAAAAATTAATGAAAAATCATACAGTACTATCATTGAGAAAAATGCAATTATCAATGCAACAAAATTAGATCTTAACAATCCATACTTTTATCAAAAGAAATGGATCTTATCAACTGTTGATAATTGGTAAGCAAATTTAAAATTGAATTAATTGATTTATAGTTAGTTATATTATTATATTAATCTAGCTGATATAGATTATTAATAATTAGTAATTTGTTACATATATTAGGTTAGATTATATAGAATTATCTTCTTAATTAAGATAAATAGCGAAAGTCATAAATTGGCATCAATTTACTATTCTCTCATTGATTGTTTGGCCCTTCAATATTTTTGTATTCTTTGAGCTGGTTCATCTTCTGAAAGTTCATTGTTTGCATTACATGAAGTTGATGCAAATTTACGTGCAAAGCAACCAGATATTTACTTTCATGATGACATTCTCAAAGTCGAGCCTGGTGAGTATAGCCAATGTTAAGTGGCTCAATGTAATCAAACCTTTCATTCTTATAATATAATATTTTCTTAATAGGAAATGTAGAGATTGCAAAGGATGGTGTAATACAAGATATAGTTAAATATGATCTTGACACAAACAAGAGCCTTTGGGAAAATATATATGAAATCTATTATACGTATGACAATCTCCCCACCTCAAAAAAGGAAAAAATTTTCAAGATGGATTTTATAGCCTTTGTGATCTCTGGTATGTTATAAATTCAAATAGAAAGAAAATACATAAATAATCTTAATATCTAAAATTTATTTTATTTACTCAGGCAATCATATAGATACATATGTAACTAGATTGGTTGATGTTAGCTGTTTAAAAATCCTTAGCCGGCTAAGCCGTTTACTACCTAAATTGGTAATTTTATTTCTATAACCAAAAGGTAACGCGGAAATCTATTACCAAATTTGGAGATTATGTATGCAGATTATTAGCCGGCTAACATCACTACTTTATATCTCTACCAAGGTTTGTGAAATCTAATATCATCACATTAATATGCAAGATTTCTTCTTATTAACTTCTACAGTATATATCTCTAGATTTACAGTATGATATATCCTACAGAGTTTGTGACAAATGAGCTGATTTGTTGCATGAATAAAATTCTGAAAATGATTGTAAGTGAAACATTCTTTTTGTAGTGTATGCTAATTATTTATGCTGAATCTTATAGTCATTTTTCACTTAATCAAATAGTTGTGAATGAATCAAACTGTGGAAACTATGCGCAAGGCAAAGATGGATGATGCAGATCCACTGATTAATTCACCGAAAAAGTTTACATATTTTTACGATCCTCGTATTTTACCTTTTGTAATCTCCAAAAAAAAATCAAGCGATAGGAAGAAAAATACTAAGAAAAATTAAGAAAAATGTTTGTTAATTGTTGTAAAATAGAGATGCGATCCGTGGATGGTCAATCTGGATATCCGCAAAACAATCCGGATGGACGGATGGCTTTTTTAAAGTGCTAACGGATTGCGGATTGAAATTTTAGAAATTATAGGATATCCGGATGATCCGTGTAAA